AACATCCAATGCAGATTTAACCAAGTTACAGCCAAGGTAATACGTGAAGGCTGCAGATTTGAGGGCCTCAAACTGAATCACACATGGTCTGACTGCCAGACGTGATGACAGCCTGCCTCTCCCAGCCTCTTCAACTGGAGCAGCAGGTTCTCAGCATTTCTGTGAATCAGGGACTTTGTTCTTGGCTGGTGCAACTACAATACTGGATGTTTTGATACAATTAGCTCATGTCCCTATTTTAGTATATCTCCAGTTTTAGTAAAATGTGTCTTTATTTAATTTGTTGTCATTTAGAAATGACCTTGTTGAGGTAGAGCTTCTCTTTATCATTTTTCCAGCCTTTAGAAGGAAGAATAAAAAGTAAGAAAATACACAGAAATACATGAAGGCTTTAGCCAGCTGAAATCTAGTGTGTTCTGGTATCTATCAGTTTAAACTGCCTACTCAGTAGCACACACTATTCACAAGCTTGCTTACCTGTGCAAACCGCTGTGTTAACAGCAGGTCTAGGTTTCTACATCACACTGACCATGTGATAAAACCATTTAAATGCAGCTGATTTCCAAATAAATGTATTTATTGTGGCCAAAGCTACTTAGCCATGTTGTCCTGGCAGTTTCTCCTCACTTCCCAAATTCCTTTGGTCGTGTCCCTTTCTCTTCTCCCACAGTTGCTCTGCTTCTTTCCACACATATAAAAATACAATGGCTCCTCCAGGTAATGCCTCCTGCTACGTCCTGATAAAAGAAACTGAACTCAGACAGAATATTTGATGGGCTTTTCATGGCCATTCTCTCTGTGACCAAGTTCTCAGAACTACATAAAATGAGTCAGAAGAGCGCAGTCAGTCCAAGTTGTAGTTCTGCCCATTATTTTCTGCATCATCATATTCTCTCTCAGCTTCATCAGCTGAAAAACAGGGCTCATAATATTTCCTTACCTACAAAAGCTGTTAGGAGGATTACTGCATTGTTGTGAATTCCACAGATGAAAGGTAGTAAGAAGAACAAACTGTAATTATGATTTCAAACCTCTACCCTAGACCTGTCATCCTTACCTTACTGAATAATGCTTACTCAAACAAGGAAATTCTGCCACTATGGTAAAGAAAATCACGAGTGAAAATGACTCTCTTTTGCAATAAGAGCATTTATTCCCTTATGTTCAACACCCTCCTGTCTTCCACTGGGACAACTGGAGTTTCACTTAATTGCAGCCACTTAATGTACACTCTTATGCAATACTCCATTTGAAAACTATTGTTTCAAACATGACTGTAATAGAATAAACTCACTTTTTGTAATGTATAATGACATCCACTCTGACAATAGCAGCTCCTGGAAATAGGATTTACCCCAAGTCTGCTGATAGATGAAGTCTCTTGGAGCCCGTGGCGACAAAATGGTCAGTAAGGCCAATTTTCCAGCCTTGAAGCACATGGAGCTCACATCAGCCTTTCACATGTGTGTGGGTATACAAAGTGCTGAAGGATGAGTCCAAAAATGGAGGAGAGAATATATTGCTGATAAGGTATTCAAACCACTTCAGCAGCTTTCTCCACCTGTAATCCTTGAGTGGTTTCCAGGTACAAATACTAACAAAGAGCTCCCATGCTAGAGGAAACTGCAGTTTTGGTGCTGCAGCAAGCACTGAATGGTGAGCTAAAGAATCAGCAGCTTACGATTAGTGCCTATAGCAACTGTCAGGAAAATTAGTGCTCTCAGCAGTCCTTAACTATTAAATACTAGTAAGTGCAATCAATGAGGTACTGAGCTTGGTCAGTTCTCATAAAACTTAACAGTCCCACAGAGATAAGTGGCTCTCTGTTCTCTCTACCCTCATTTTCAATTCACTCAAGACCTACCTGTGGCGGAGGGAGCAGAGAAGCAAATAGCCTCAGTGTTGATAAGCCCTGAAAATTGCTCTATTCTTGCATAAATAAGTTTTTCTCACCCAACCCTTCACAGAAAGCTGCCTAGAAGGATGTACTTACACCTTCACAGTAAGGGTTAAAAAGCAGTGTAATATCAAGGAGTAAATACACTGCAGGTGTTGTTTAACAAGGTACTAATTGGGTGACTGGAGGTGCATCTTAAAAGACCACAGAGGTTAATCAAAAGGCCTTGGGTGCATTTAGGATGCTCCTTTGAGCTTAGGGAGGAGGCAGCAGCGGTGAAAAGCTCTTGCTGTAGTCTTACATTTTATAGTAAAAGCTGAAAGTAAGGTATTAATGAATAGGCAGGGTGTTAGATCCTGAGTATGATAGATAGCAAGTCTGTTCAGAAGCTGATTTAATGATTGCAGCTATCTCTTCCTCAGCCTGCATGCTCTTACTTTTGGCTTTTACCTGTGCTTAGTTATTCTAATGTCACTGTACTGGGGCTTCAGTTTGCAGACCTACAGGTAGGTGTGTGAGCAACATGTATGTTCCAGTTTGAAAGCTGATAACTGAAATCTCAGGGACACAAATTGGTCTTCCAGCTCAGTTTTATGCATAAGGAACATAATTTGGGATGAAATTATCTTATAACCCCCCCCATGTGAATTAAAGGAGTATAAGATGTACTTAACAACTGTTCTTGGCTTGCTGTTTTATTATGTTCTGCATTGCCAAACATGAATTTCCCTATGTTCTGAGGAAAACAAACAAACGTTTCATCAATGGCTCTTGCTTGTGCAGAGGACCACCCTCCCCAGTTGTTCCTGCTACTTGTGCTTTTTTCCTTGGCCCTTATAGGGGAATGAACCATTAGGTCAGGGCTTGAACTGGTGATTGAGCACCTGCTGAAGGGCTGTGGCTGCCCATGGAGCACAGGCAAATTGTTTGCACCTGTGTTCCCCTCATGACCAGAAGGGGTGGACCCAGCTCTAGAAAGGGCTCATATAAAGGCCAGGCACTGAAGGGAGAGCATCTCTTGGAGCTGGGCTGCTTCCTGAGGAGTGCTGTGCAGCCAGAGAGCTCATTCACCACCTGGGTGAGTTCAGTTCTTTCTGTGTGTAGATATTGGCCCACCTGCATATATTTTGCCTGCTTTTGCCACAGTCTCCCAGAAGCAGTTTGGCTTCTTATCAGCAGGACAGCCCTCCTGTTTGGCCCCTAATCTTCAAGCAGCAGCAATTTTCTTTTAGGTGTTTTTGGTGTTGTTCATGATTTGGTACCTCTGCAAGTTATGGCAGTCACAAATTCATACAGGCATGTGTTGGAGCAGAGCATCTTAGAAGAACTGACCTGATGTTTTTCAGAACTCAAATGCTTTGATGTATGTTTATTCTTCTAGGTTTGCTTGGGAAATAGTAATATAGGAGGATAATGAGAAAAACTAAGCGTTCAAAGTCTGATTCTTCCTTACATCCCTGATGCAAGGTGCCTGAGATGCTCTCAGGCAGGGGGGAATTCAAGTGATTTCAGGTGGGTTCTTTCACTCAGTCTGACAGCATGGAACATATGGCAACCGCACGCAGGGCAGCTTTAGTGAAAACCAGCTTGCAGCACGTGGAGGTTTGCCTAAAGAAGTTGCAGGAAGCACCTCTTTCTTACTGTTTGCATGTCTGTGCTCCCACAGAGGCTGTGTGCTCTGGGTGCGGAGGGCACTCGAGTAGCTTTTGGGTACCTGATGAGCAGGTCAGAAAGGCCAGCTTGGAAGTGGCCCTGATGCGCAGTTTGGCTGTTTGTGAAGATGCAGCTTCCAGTCCTATCTTAAAGAGTAGTTATGTCTGGGAGAGGTGAGGTTGTGACACATCGATCCCTACTGAATTCGCACCAGCTTTACAGTTAAGTGCAAAAAAACCCACAAACTTTTGGGGTTTGGTTAAAGCGTCTGCACAGCTTTGGTTTCATCCTGAGGCAACCACACATCTGGCTAAGCAGAATTTTCTAAAGCATCTGTCCTCTTGTCTGTGCAAAAATCAATCTTCAGATGCTATCAGGCAGTGTGAGAAGTCCCAGCTCTGTTGGTCTCATTCTTTTGAAAGCTGATCTTCTGGAAATGAAGCCTTCCAGTGAAAGGGCCTCCACTGGATGGTTACAATAAACTGCTTTATTAATTGGCGTCACCTCATGGCTGGCTGTGTGGCAGCCTGCTGGATTATGTGTCCACAGAGAAATCCCATCACTACTTCGTATTTTATGTTGGCACTCCAGTGTTTCCCCTGGATTCAGTTACTTTCCAACACTTTTTCTTTCTGTGCTGCAGCAATTGAATTATATTTTGGGTTGCAGTGGTCTCTTCTTCAAACTCTTTTTCTCTCCTCATTGCATTTGTTTGCTTTGCGGTATAGGCTGCTGGTCTTTGATTTTGGAGTGTTTGTTTTTATGTTTGATGCTCTTTATGGAGCGTGTTTGTGAAATTAGTGTTATTTTTATTGCGTGTGTTAGATTACAATCACCAAAACAGCACAGTGGGATGCACTCAGCAGCGCGTGCTGCGTCAGGTTTGGGGTTTTCTTGTGTTTCTTTGTGTTCAAGCAGCGTTTGGACGTTGTAGGAAGGTTTAGCGGGGAAACGCTGGTGGTGGGCGGTGATGTTGGAGGTCTTCCCCAGCCTCGCTTCTCATTTGTTTGGGTGACTTACTACTCCAGCTCGCTCTGCCCGCGTTCTATTTTTACCGCAGCTCGTATTTGTTGTTGCGTAATAAAAGCGAGCGCGCGTTACCCAATGCAAACCACGCTTAAAGGAAAAAAAAAAAAAGCAACAAAAAACCCACGAGCAAAGCGCAGCGCTTCCCTCCGAGCTCTCGGCTCCCGCCGGCGGGCAGGGCTGGAGTTCCCACCGACCGTGCGGGGACCGCGAGGCGGGCGGAGGGACGCGGTGCCGCCTGCCGTCGCCCTCCGGCTCCCCGGGGCGCTCCGCGGCGCGCAGCCCGGCCGTGCCCGCAGCAGAACAGCAGCCGGGGAGCGGAGCGGGGCCGGAGCTCGGTGGGACGCGGCGGCTCCTGGGAGCTGTAGTCCGGGCCCCGCCGCCGCCTCCCGCCCGGCCCGGCCCGGCACTACGGGCCCCACACGGCCCCGCGGCCGGCGCATGAGCCGTCGGCCGCCTTAGCGCATCTATTCTGCTGCCTTGCCGAGGATAAAAAGAAGAGCAACTGGAGGGACTGTAAGGCAAACGTTGCTGGAGCTGCCGGGGCAAAGTAATCTATTTAATCTTTCCCTTTATTTGTTAGATGCTCGGGGGTGCGTCGCTAGCATTGGGCCACGGCTTCGGGAGGGAGGGGGGCCGGGAAAGAAGGGAGGGGAGGCAAAACCCACTTGGGAAAGGCCGACGCTGATTTTCTTCTTCTTTTTCCTCCCCTTCCCTCTTCTTCCGCTCCTCCACGGTGCGGAGCCCCGCGCCGCTCCCCGCAGCCTTTGTGCGCCGCGACAAAGCAACAAAGCGCGGCCGGGCACAGCCTGCCCATTGATTTCCTCCCGGCCCCGCCGCTCCTGCCCACCCTTTTCTTCTTCTTCTGCCGCTTCTTCTCCTTCTGCTCCCCCTGTCGCCTCGCCCAGCCCGAAGCCGCCCGGCCGGGTGCGCACCCGTTCCCGGCCCCACCGAGCCCCGCGCAGAGGAAATTTCTTTCTTTCTTTCTTTCTTTCTCCTCCTTTTTTTTTTTTTTTTTTTTTTTCCCTCCTTCTTCCCCCTCTCTCGCTCGCTTTCCCTCTCTCTCGCTCTCTCTGCCCGCCATCTTTTGAAAGAGGAAAAAAAAAAAAATTAGGAGCGAGGGAAAATAAGGGACTGTAGGCGCTCTTAGAAAATAAGAAAGGGGGAAAAAAAAAAAGGGGGGGGGGGGGGGGGGACAACGCAAGACAAAAAAAGAACGGAGGGGGGGAAAGCAACACGGGTGGGGAACAGGCGCTGGGGCTTGGGGCGGCCGGGCGGAGCGGCTTTGGGGCTCAGCCCGCAGCTCCCGGCCATTTCCCGGCGCCCCGGAGCCGCTCGGTGCGGGGTTCGGCCGGCGGCGATCCGCGGGACTCGGGCTGCACGCGGGGAGCGAGGGTTTGTTGCTTCAACTTCGCGTGTTTCCGCGGTGTGCGCGGCGACGTGGCTCGCGGGTTGGAATAAAATGCAAAACTTCAAACCGGCCGTGCTTTTTTTTCCTCCTTTTTTTTTTTTTTTTTTTTTTTTTTTTTTTTTTCTACTCGTTAGCTTTTGCACCTCTCTGGGCGCCACTGATAGAGCGTTGTTTGTAGGCTGCTTGGTTTCACTTTCAGACAAAGCTGCAGTGTTCAGGTCGCGGATCTCCGAGCGACTCTAAGCTGTGAGGCTGAACCCTGCAGGGTCCCTCCGAGTGCCAGCAGGCGCTGGGTGCGCTGGGATAGCTTTGGGTGTCTGCAGAAAGCAGAAGTTGCTGAAATAAACTTATTTTTCGGATAAGCAAACAGATGGGCTTCACTGATACTTGCGATGTGTATAAATGCTGTGTGTAAGTTGCTCGACGTTGGTAAACAGTAGGTTGGGGGGGTAATGCAAATAGCAGAGCAATAGCAGAGCACACCTGCTGTTGCTTGCTGGGAATAGAGGTGTGTTTTTGTAGGCTTGTTAGTGCTTTGAATGTGTTCAGTGTGTGTGTGTATGCTAAGGGGTATCTCTAAACCGGGGATTTGGGATTGACACCGAAACCTTGTCCCCCATTTGCTCAAGTGGAGGTGTTAGAGAGGACCCTGACTGCTGTATGTGCTGCACAGTGAGAAGCGTGGGGTGGACAAGAAATCCCCGCTGCAGTCTGCTTGCACTACAAGCACCAACCCACGATCTGTATTGCTTGCAGCTCCCAGCAGCTCGGGTGTGCTGTATGCAGAGTGCTGCCTGCTGCTGTTTTGTTAGCTGAAGTTTAGGGAGTTCTTCTGAAACAGTGTAACTTCTGGCCCTCCCGCTTTCCTTTTTCTGAAGGAAAAATGCTAAGCTTGTATTTTCTTTCCCTTTACTCCTTGCTGGTTAAAAATACACACTAGTGCTTCGAGACCATGCTTAGTAAAACAGTTGAATGGAGGTTAATGGTGTTATTCAACATTCAGCATCAGCTTGATTGCAATATTGTCTTCTAAACTCTATTTGCACAGCACTGGGTGCTCAAGCTATCCCACTGAAGGATTGTTGCTGTGACCTATGCCTGCAGAGTTTAAGAGTGCACCTACAAATAGAATGTGTGTGAAATAGCTGAGGTTTGTTCTCCAAACTGACTTTGGTGTCTCAGCTGCATTAATCATAAATGAAAACTTTAGCACTTTCAGCAAATGCTGGTTTGGTTGGTGTCTGCAAGTGCAGTGCATTTCAGTGGGCTTCATAACTGGACTTTCCTTGGGTTGCTGTAATTACATCGGGAGCAATGACTTCAATCACAATTAATAATCTAGCCAAATACTGCCTTCCTGAGCTAGGATCTGCTTGTGATGTCACCCCTCAGCCCCCTAATGCCAGTGGGAGCAGTACTGAGGTGTCTGCAGCCCCACTCCTGGCCTGCCTGCCCTGCAGCTCTGGGGCTGTGCTTCCCAGAGCCCTGCTCCTTCCCCCGGAGTAATCTGGGAGCTCACTGACAGCACAAACAACTCCAAGTCAAATCCCTCTCCCCAGCAGCAGCTGAGTGATGTAGTGGGGGCTCATGTTTCAAAGGCTTAATTACTTTGGCAAAATATATTACTCTGTCGACTTTGGTAAGCTATCAGGTGGTTTCAGTATAGACGGAGCTGCACTTACCTAAACAAAGAGCATTTTGGCTCTCAGCACTGCTGTTTGTTTCTCTTTAATCCCAGTTGCTCTTTCTCTTGCTAATTTACGAAATTCATTAATCTGCAGTGAGTTTCCCAATCATTACCATGAACTGCATGTTTTGTTGTGTTGGTTTTGTTGGTTGTTGGTTTTTTTTTCTTTTCTTTTTTTTTTAAATTACCACATTATTCTCCAGTAATAGCCCAGAACACCACTGCAAGCAATAGAGTTCTGGGAATTAGGAAGGAGCCATTGTTTGCTGTGCTGCTCAGTGAGCTGTCAGGACATTTTGGAAGGATGTGTGCATCTCAAGCTTTTCATTCCACAGTGTCTTACTGTGATGTTGCCGGGTTTTTGTCAGTCATTAGTGCTTGTCAGAGATGAGCAACTTTCTTTGGGGCACACTAACACTGCATTGAAAGGGAGGAAGTACTCTTTAACCCGCTTGCTGCTAAAGCCAACGTGAAAAGGAAAGGATTTAAATTCTTTTGGAGAACAGTATGGAAATTCACTGTAATGTGCTGCTAAGGCTGCTTTTTCTCTCAGCTCTTGTTCCTTCCCCCAGTCTTGCTGATAAGGCACCAAGTGAAGAAACACTCGCTTTTTTTGGATTCCTTTCACACCTTGCTGGGCCTCATTCTCTTTCTAGCCTGAGTCTGATAAGAAGACATCATCCTGGCTGGATGTATTTCAGCAACGCGGATAACCTGGGCAGAAAGGAAGGTTTGTGAGCCTGAATCCTTTGCTGAGACCAGGACTTGGCATTTTCCCCTCCACCAGCATTACAACAGGTGGAACAAAGCAAAAGAGGTGAAAGTTCTATGAAATGGGAACCAACCTGGAACAGCTTGAACTGACTGAAATGATTCCTGGGTTTATCTATCTTCAAACGTTGAGATTTAGATTCAGTCCTAGCTGATGCAGGTCTGGTGTGGAAATAACCTTGTTTGCTCGTCTTTCCTTCAAATCTGTTTTTTTTCCCCATCTCAAGGAAGAAGAGGCAGAGACACATCGCAGTTTTCCTTCCTAGCTTTGAGAGCTCGTTCTACTTTTGAAGTTTAAACTCGCAGCACTTCACTGATGCAGCTGCACTGATAAGCCTTGCAGAGTGCTCCCTGACACCATCACACCAGCAAGGATGCACTCTGTGTGACTGACTCGACCTGTTGTAACCAAACCCCAGCAGTGCTGGAACAAAGGCACGCTTTTCCTTGTGTAACTTTGTCTTTTTATGCTATCCTTGTATAACACCATGGGAGGTGCCTGGAGGGAATCACACTTCCTCACAACTCTCCAATGTCACCATGCCAAGAGAAAAATCTGTTTTCTAGAACTGCGCTGGCCAACAGATGTCAATAAGCAAGTGGGAAGCTTGCAGTATAGTGCTGGTTTGCTGATAGCAGACTTGGAATGCAGACATCTTCCTTACCAAGGCTGGTTTGGGGGCTCTGCTGTACAGAGGGCAGCATGGAAACTGACCTGCTGAAAATGCATTTGTTTTATTCAACAGGCAGAAGAGTTGTTTGTGGGTATAAGAGAGAAAGCTCTTTCTTACTGGAAAGCCTTGCCTTTTGGTGTTTGCAGTTCTGCTTCCGATCTGTGAAACGGCTGCAAAGTGCAGCTCTTCAAGTTGCTGTGTGAAAGAGGGTCTGCTCCCCCAGGTTTTTGCTGGCGTGCTTGTCTGAATTGTATTAGAGGTGAGCAAGTGTGCCAAGAGCACAGCTCCCTGAGTGGTCAGTGGAGAGAGCTGTGTTCCTTTCCCCATTGAGCAGAGTGGGAGCATCCTTCTGCCTGGGGCTGGCAGGCAGGGGGGCACCTTCCTGTTCCTGGTTAGCTGCACAGCTCCCTGCATAGGCAGGGATAATAGAATTCAGAATACATTTTCCCCCCCTTTTTTGCTGACTGCTTGGGAGTTTAAATGAGATGCATAAATGCAGGCAGTTGGAACTGCCTTATGTCCTTTTGAGGAGTGACAGCAGCTTAGCTAGCACAGTTGATCGCACCCGAGCTGACCTGCAGCTTCCTTGCATAGTTGGGCAAATTTACAATCTATCCAACCTTAGCAAAAGCAGTGAGGCACCTTTCACGTGCAATAGACCACCTGTACTCTTTTGCACTTGTTTGCATGTATTTACTTTGAGTTAATACTGCCTTATCCTGGGACAATGTGTTTGTTAGGACAAGGTGCTTAAATCAGTATGGAAACAGATAAAGCTAAGTCAGTGCAACCTGTCTAGGGGAACGTTGGTGGGGATGAACAGTGGTCATAAATAGGAGGGCTGCAGCAGTGTGATACATTACTGCTCATCTGTCAACCTGCAGTAAATAACTTGGTGGGTGGGTGTACTTGCTCTGCCCCATTACCAAGTGTAACATTACTGTGGCTCAGCTAACAAGTAGTAATTGTATGTCATAGTAATTCCATCCCTTTCACTTCATTGTCCA